CGAGCCCAAGAGAACTACAGTAACAGTTCTGGCCTAAACGCAGAAATTCAACATCTTCATCAAAGCTTTGCTACAGAACGGTTACCGAAGGAGAGTCCTTGACGAAGAACTTTTGCACCCCAGCTCAAATTTAAAGTTGGTCAGTTCATACGCACGAGTGGTAATTTTACCTTTCTTACCCTGGCTATCTCAACGTATCATGAGGAACATTAATGACATGTGGTTTAAGGTCTACTACAAGACTGACAGAAAATTGGGCAATATTTTATTTGAAAGGTACTTGCCCATTAATAACCCTGAAGATGTGTTAAATGTTGTATACAAAGTTCAACGCAGAAGCTGCGACAAAGTGTACACTGGAGATTCCAACCGGAAATTGAACATCATGATAAAGGGGCACCTTGCTGCGGCCCGCTTTGGATGGGTTGACAATTCTAGCATTGCCAAGCATGCGATTACTGAATGGCATTCTTTCACTAATGAATGTCTGTTATAGACAAAGAGACAAAATTAAACCTAAATTAGGTCTGCGAGTCCTTGCATATACTGTCAATGAAAAACCGGTTATGCAATGAATACACATCTTCTGTGGTTATTAGCGAAAGTTGGGGGACGGTGGCAAAATTGATATGCAAAATCGGGTCAACATGACAGAGATCTGATTGATTTTATTACGAAGATTATACTTTCTATGCTGATTAAAATTGTGTTTAGTCAGCTTAACGTTTTGATTGTATAGCATGATCCAAATGAAAAAGTAGTATTGTAATGCCTTCAACCAGTCATTGTCCTCAGTTCAACATGGTGAGACCGGGTTATGTGCAGCAAAATGGTTTTCAATAAACTCTTGTACCATCTGCTGTATGGTGCCCTGAACCATGAATATTCCAAACACTTATTCATTTAACTCTGGACTCAAAATCAAAATCCTGAAGTATTATTTGCTATATTTTACTTACATTATTCGCCTTTCGTAATATATTCAAATATTTCAGGACCGGTATCCAGCTATTTGACAAGGCATTTCAGCGATCGCAAAGTTATGTGGATGGGTGCTACAGCGGCGTGCTCCGGATTCATCATCTGCTCATTCTCCTTCACTCTGTGGGAACTCGTTCTCGGTTCTTCCATTTCAGGTACTTACTTTGCTAGGCCGTTTTTAAATTTACAGTTTAAAATAAAGTAAACACGCTCCCACAAAATTCCGACCCAGGCACCTCATCGTGGTGTGGGAGTGACAACGGCATAATATCTCTGACCGGCTAAGCTCGGGCGGTACCACTGACAGCCTGGACCAGCGAGTGGTAAATTAACAGG